AAATAGCGAACTATAAAATGTGAATGAAGACAAAAATATTGCTGAATAAACTACCGTCTAAAATGTTTGTTAATAAAATATGAAATCAAAGACATTTTAATATTCCAGCATTATCCGTAACTTCTTCAATGTGGAATTCATAATAATTATGGCAAAATTTGTTTAGTTGTAAACGCTGGTGAGGACGGTCCAATGAGCAATGGGCCATGCAAACATGTTGGATGATATTTAATAATTAATTTATCAATATTAAATGTTTTACAATTAATCCCTCTACTTCATTGTAGATATTTTACTAACGCGTAAGGCGGTTAAGGAACATGATCCAACACTCATACATTATTCGCCATAGTCGTCCTTGTCGTCCCTGTTGTCCCTGTCGTCCCTATCGTCCTTGTCGTCCCTGTCGTCCCTGTCGTCCCTATCGTCCTTGTCGTCCCTGTCGTCCCTGTCGTCCCTGTTGTCCTTGTTCCCCCATAAATTCAACATTTGATACAACCAATTGATAACAAAGAGATCATTATAGCAGGGCTTTTCGCTTCAGCTTCAATCTGAGGCACGGCTTCAGTCACAGGAGAAGCGCTGCATGCTGCACTGCAGACCAATAGGATTGCCTGAAATATTGATAGAAATTTAAGTCGTTAATCCATTATTAAGAAAATCATCAACACGTTTAGCGCAGGCAGAAATAGAAAAGTTATTATTTCGGCCAACATCGTCAGCTGTTATAACTCACAGGACGCTGAAAGCAAATAACTCAATAGGCTTGCTCATTATGGGGACTGGAGAGATTCTTGCTGAACAAAGAATAACCAAAGATTGGTTTTTACTTTCGCATGAGAAATTATTCAAGTTTCAGATGAAAATGTTTTATTTGACCAAAGTTGTGCCGTTCTTGGCTCGTATGAGAACTCAGTCGCTAGAGAGACTTGACGGGCTAATTAAGTAATTATTAATTACAAAGTTATTAATAATTAATTACTTGTTAAATAATTATTTTCTTATTAATTAAATTACTTATTAATTAATTATTAATTACGAAATAATTAATAATCAATTACGAGTTAATTTATTATGTCCTTACGAGGTAATTAGCGGTTGTTTTCTGACTCAAATAGCGAACTATAAAATGTGAATGAAGACAAAAATATTGCTGAATAAACTACCGTCTAAAATGTTTGTTAATAAAATATGAAATCAAAGACATTTTAATATTCCAGCATTATCCGTAACTTCTTCAATGTGGAATTCATAATAATTATGGCAAAATTTGTTTAGTTGTAAACGCTGGTGAGGACGGTCCAATGAGCAATGGGCCATGCAAACATGTTGGATGATATTTAATAATTAATTTATCAATATTAAATGTTTTACAATTAATCCCTCTACTTCATTGTAGATATTTTACTAACGCGTAAGGCGGTTAAGGAACATGATCCAACACTCATACATTATTCGCCATAGTCGTCCTTGTCGTCCCTGTTGTCCCTGTCGTCCCTATCGTCCTTGTCGTCCCTGTCGTCCCTGTCGTCCCTATCGTCCTTGTCGTCCCTGTCGTCCCTGTCGTCCCTGTTGTCCTTGTTCCCCCATAAATTCAACATTTGATACAACCAATTGATAACAAAGAGATCATTATAGCAGGGCTACTGAATTCAGAAAGTTAGGGTTTTAAGTAATGCCAACAATCTTTGCATCTTCATTTAATAATAGTGTGAAGTGTGTGTGTTCTGTGTGTGTCTACTGTGTAGTGTCGGTAGTGCGTAGTAGTTGACTGTAGCGTGTAGATAGTTTCTCTAGTGAAATTGCGTTTTTAACAAAAATTTTAAAGCAAAGATACGTCAAGTAAATGCATCAGATCTTCATTGATAATGTTTCGGAGACCATGCAGTCCCCTTATCATTGGGAAATCCTTAAATCCTAAATAATACATTTATATCCAATAAAAGTGCGAAAGTTGCCAAGGAAAGATTCAATTTTTATCACTGCAGAAAGGGATTAAAGACCTATCGATTACCAATTTTAGGTATTCGAGAACTGTAATATTGAATCACAATAACCTAATAATAACTTGGTAAAGAAACATTTAAAAACATTACGCTATTCGCGAGAAATTGTAAACATTGTGTTTTTGTTCACATCGTCGAATTTCGCACTTGGAGAGAGGCAATTATACCTATGGCATTACGAACTTACCATGAATAACTTCATGTTGCGTAGATTTTTTTACCGTCTAAAATGTTTTCCTGTGAAAAACTAAGACTTAAAATCGGATGGCTACTTGTTTACTTCTGATGTTGTGGTCAACAACGAGCTTTCTTTTATAGCTCTCCTAGCAACTGGTTTGTACGTTTTTTTTGGTTGGTTGTTTCCATAGCCTTGACCTCGATCATTCTTATCATCAATGCTGGAAATCCGGTCCTGTGGCTGTCAGGCTGGCTATGGGTGAAGTGATATTAAGTATATGAAGCATGTATAAGTATATGAAGCAAATTTCAACAAATAACATATTTCAACCATCAGAATGAAACGAATGGCGAGCCTCTGAGCGCAAATCCTGGCCTTTGATCGAGTTCCTCCTCAGGTCAAGAGTTCAAACGTTAGAATAACAATCTGAAATTTAACAAGATCGTAAACGTACTAATTAAAATATCATGTCACTGCTTCACCTAGATTATTTCAGAGCGTAGGCTCTGTGATATGAATATAAAATTTTTGAAGTAGCTAGAAGTTAAACTTTTCCGTGAAAAAAATAGTACTTGGTTTCTTCCACGAGTATAAAATTAATAATCCCAAAACCATCGCATATAGTGAGATGTGTTAAGATTCCCGTCAACAAGTTTTTTTCTATTAATGATAAACCTTAAGATGGAATTCGTAGCCATTCGTGACTCATGAGGATATCAAACTCCGCTTAAGAAGAAACAAGTTTATATTGCTGGTATCCTAGGATAATTATTAAAGTCCTCTCTTATCAAACTCTCCCCACTAACACTCAAGCATGGAATGTATTTCGTATTGAAAATTGGACTGTGACGGTCGCATTACAGGACAACGCCTGACTCTGGAAGATAAGGAAGTGATAAGAATTCTCGATGCTTTTAAGTTTCCCAGAAAGTAGGTCAATAAATTGGATTTTTTTTGTTTTCATTAAGCCCCACGTGTTTTCATGTACGGGTTATAAATGAATGGTTGGATGGTAGTATAAATGGACCAACAGCTGAGCCCTGGGTTGCTCGGGAAGGATAATTCTTCAGATTCGAGAATCCCGCACTTTAGGATCCGTTTCCCTTATATTAACCCAGAATCACGCTATTATTTAACTGTTTAGTTATATATGAATTGAATTTAGGGTCCATATAAGATGCCAACTCGGCCTGGGTCTGGACCTCGATTTACGCCAGGTGCTGACCCCTTCTATTTGAATTACACTCGTCAAAATTATGTCCTGAGTTTATTCGTTTAGGTCCTGAGTTCATCAGTTTCATTTAATCCGTTTAGGTCCTGAGTTCATCCGTTTCCGTTATGTCCTTTAATAACCACGTGCCACTGATAGGGTTAGGCTCGAGGGCTAAGACTCAAGTTGCTGTGGAGCAGAGCTGACAGTTGGCAACCGCTTCTCCAGCGCAAGACATGGCAGACGTGGATTTATCCGACATACAAATATTGGTCATAGAATTTTTTATGTAATTCTATCTCTGGTTAGAGTGTGTGAAAAATTGTACACAGTTTTACTTAGAGGCAAATGCAGGTACACAGAACTGCTTATGCGCCTGTTTTGATACATAATCGCGATTGTCAAGTTCGTCACGTGATTATACAAGAAAATATATTTCAAGATGCTCATTGTAATATTTTATTAAAATTACGTTATCGCTGATTTTCTTAAATTATAGCTGCGTGTAAATGACTACACTCTTCTAACGTGTTATTGCGAATGAGTGACATGTTTTTTACCATATCCCGTTGAATAAAAATTGGAATGAAGAATTGAAGATTGACTGATTTGCTCATTCTCCAATTTATTCATTGAAGAATGAATAAATTGCCACCGATTAACGAGAGCTTATTTACAGGAACAAAAATTGGGGACAATGATTTAAAGAAATTTCACTGTTTTCTATTGAAAGACATATTGACAAAATTCCTCGCGGCAGTAATGCGTATCAATGAAGGTAATTGCCTGGAGAATTACAGAGAAAATACGGCTCCATGCGAGTGCGAATGGTTGGTAAGTGTTAGCTGGGATTTATGTATGAGAACCAATAAGACTTTATGCTTCGTAGAAATTATGTGTACGGAAAATTTAAGATTCAGGAACTCGGGGTTTGTAATTGAAATTTGACATTTTTCCAAATTTTTTATATCAGTCACGCCGTAACCTCGATAAAATTCTTGACACGATAGTTTATTTTCCAAAAACTATCTTATAATTACGCTGAACTCGCCTATTACTAGCATGAAAAATGCATGGGAGCCTATTCCTTCATTAAATTGAGGAGCAATAATTGAAATAAATTAAAATCGTGCATTCTCGTGGATTGTATCGCTGATATGTAGAAGTTTTAATCAAGTCCCTTACGACTGCGCTGCAACAACCCTCATGTAACCCTCGTGTCATAACCGTGGCTGTAATAATTACGTGGCTCAGTAGCCATATTTGTTGCCTGTTGTGTAATTTAACAAGTAAATTGTTGAAGTAAATATCCTCAGCTTCCAGTAAAAACTTTATGAGTTTGAATTCAAACTTTACATCAATTTTCTCGGTCTGTACCTGTCTCAGGCAACAGCCTGTCTCTCATTTGCTGTTACCTATCGCGCTTTAATATGTACCTTCAGTGGTTGTTATATTCTCACTGGATATAAGGCTTATACTCGGTACGTTCAATTTAATATATTGCTTTCGAATTAATCTGAGAGTTTCTACTCTTTCTCGATGTTTTCTTATGATTGTTTCAGGTTCCCATTACATCGATATGAAGGCATAAGGGTTTAAAAAATTATTAGAATTTGGTTTTTACTTACAATTAGTTGCAATGTACTAACAATGTGAACAAGTTCAATGTTCTAATACATGTTATCAAAGAAGACGAGAGAATTGCTCATAACTTTAGACAGCTGATATACATTGGTAAAAACACACGTATATAGCAATTATCTCTAAATGCGTGTATTAGATTCATCTATTTGAAATGCCCTTGTCCACATAAATTCAAAATATGATGGGTGCGCACACACTTTCGACTGACATCGAGCGCTTTGCCATCGCTAAGTCACTTAAGAACAGAAACAAAAGATGACTAGAACACAACCAATCAGCTGATTAGTAATCCTGGACCAGCAAGCATTGTGAGTACCATATTTTGTTCCCTAGTTCCTGTAACTTAAATTTAACCGTGGTTTCTGCAGCTCGAGTACGTCCGATATTTGTTATGGCCGTGCCCGTACCCGTGGGCGTGAGCGTACGTGCCGAAATAATTACGACGCGCAGCTTCTGCTTCTGCTTCGGCAAGGGATTCTGGGAAGGCTTCAGCATATGCTCCAGGAAAAGCTCCAGCATATGCTCCAGGAAAAGCTCCAGCATATGCTCCAGGAAAAGCTCCAGCATATGCTCCAGGAAAAGCTCCAGCATTTGCTTCAGGGAAGGCTCCAGCATATGCTAAGGGAGAAGCTTTAGCGTTGGTTTCGGGGTAGGCATTAGCATACGATTCAGGGGCAGCTTCGGCGTAGGCTTCAGGGTATGCATCAGGGTAGGCTGCAGCAAATGCTTCAGGGGAAGCTTCTGGAAAAGCATTGGCGATTGCTAGGGCTCCAGCGTATGCGTCGGGCACTGCTTCAGCAAGTGCAGACGCTTCAGCTTCAGGCTGCGACACAGGTAGAGCATTGCTAGCTGTAGTGACAGCTAACACGAGTGCCTGTAATAGTAGGAGCAATTGAATAAGATGCATTCCAATTGAAAAAAATTAGATTTTTCAGCCACGGCTGAGATCAAAATATTACAAGCTGACGAAAGTTAAATTCAAGTTTTTTTAATGGAACGATAGTTTATAGGAATGCCAGAGTAGGGTTTGTCTTTTATATGAGAACGAGAAGATGGCATGGTCATACAATGCGTGATGCGTATTTGGAAATTAAATTGCTCAATAATACGGGAATTGTTTTGGCTTCTGTAATGCCAGCTCGTACTACGAGTAACTTACAAAAGTTTTCGAATGATTTTTTAAAGAATTTAGTTAATACTAAATGCCGCACATAAAATTTGATACGAACCAAGTAAAAATTCATGTTGTCAGCCGATATTTATTACCCTGTAGACGTTTTATTTTCGCATAGAGCTCTAGTGCTTTCATGCCCAGAGACGGCTTGATGACATCTGATGATCTTCTCAGTTGCCAGCTCCCTTATATAGCTTTCCAGTGAACGGGATTTAGCCCTGTATTTTTTTCTGATTGCGACTTTGTGCTCAGCGCGAGGATTTCTTATCCTTGGCTTTTTAGTTTGCAGGAGTAATGGCGTCGGTGTTGCTAATATGCGATATGTAGATAAACTTATTTCATCTCTTATAGAAAAGCTCTCGTGGGTGTTTGTCAAATGTTTCTAATGAATCCGAAACTGGAAATCGATAATTAAAATTTGTTGTACTGTTATTTTTCCATAAATGTGAAAATAAAAATAAAAAGATTAAAATAAATTTTACTGTTATTTTTTAATGAAAATGAAATTTGAAAATTAAAATTAATTTTAATATTATTTCCTAATGAATCCGGAAATGAAAATTGAAAATTAAAAATAATTACAACACTCTTTAAATTCACTTCTTGTTTGTCTGTCTGTCTGCTACAAATCTTGTAATCGATTTTTAACACACTTCTACCTCTACAATCGATCTGAAATTTTGCACACTTGCGTAAAGTTGGAGACAATGCATGAATTGATTGACAGAATAAATAATGCTATAAATTAAAAAAATGTTCCAATATTAAAAATATTGAAAAAATAGTTTTGTCTGCTACAGATCTTATAATCGATTTTTAACACACTTCTACCTCTCCAATCAATCTGAAATTTTGCAGACTTGCGTTAAGTCGGAGAAAATGCCTGAATCAATTGACAGAATAAATAATTTCGAAAATTTAATTTCTTTTATGTATCAATATATTTTAAAAATTAATTTTTTAATATTCGAAATTAAAATTAGAAATTCATTGTACATGTTTTACATTGGAGACACTGGAATTTATTAGAAATGTTGTCTTTAAAAAGGAATTTTTAAACGTATATTATTTTACTATTATGTATAATAAAATGCTTAGAAACATTTATAAATTTGTTGAGCCTTTTCTTGGATGTTGCACAACACTCTTGAGTAAAATGCCTATTCTTAGCTGGATGTTAAGGGGACCGTCTCCCTCTTTCGAAAACTTTTTCATTTACGAACGGATCGTTTTGAAACTTGTAGACATATGTTAAACAGGAATCCAAGAACTTTTTGTTCATGTCAATTTTTCGAAAAACGTGAGAGAAAACGTGAAATTCATAGAAAACGGCGAAAAAAGGGGGTACTTTAAAAATCTGTCTCCTCCTACAAGTAACGTGCTACAACATCGAGACACGTATCATTCAATTTGTAACGCTCATATCTAAAATTCATCCGATCATTTTTTCAAATTTCGAGTTTGTTCGGGAGAAGGGGGGGGCGGGGTTTCCCAAAATTTTCCCCAAAATTTCAAATTTCCCCCTCCACCCCCCCTTTTTGCAAAATATAATCCAAACTACAATGAAATCGAAAAAAATGACCGGATAGATTTTAGAGATTTTATTTACAAATCGAATGGTATATGTCTCATCGCTGTAGCTTCAAAACTCTAGGAGGAGATAGGTTTGCCGTGACAATTAGTGTGAATGTTCAGCAGAGCGTGACAAAGTCCCGCGCGCATCGCAATAGGCACTCAATGTAGCAAGGATACAAAACTAAACGTTACTGCAGCTTGATTCCAGTCAAGGATGGTGGGAACAACTGCATGCACAGCTCCTCATACGGCGCCAGGTGGGTAACTTGGCTGCAGCTGAAGCAGAAACTCTATTTAAAGTGCTCTGATTGCGACTTTGTGCTCAGCGCGAGGATTTCTTATCCTTGGCTTTTTAGTTTGCAGGAGTAATGGCGTCGGTGTTGCTAATATGCGATATGTAGGTAAACTTATATCATCTCTTATAGAGAAGCTCTTGTGGGTTTTTGTCAAATGTTTCTAATGAATACGAAACTTGAAATCGAAAATTAAAATTTATTGTACTGTTATTTTTTAATATATACGAAAATAAAAATAAAAAATTGAAATAAATTTTATTGTTATTTTTTAATGAATATGAAAATGGAAATTGGAATTAAAATTAATTTTACTATTATTTCATAATGAATCCGAAAATAAAAATTGAAACTAATTTTACTATTATGTATAAATTTGTTAAGCCCTTTCTTGGATGTTACCCAGCATTTTTGAGTAAAATGCACATTCTTAGCTGGATGTCAAGTCTCGTTAATTCTTGTTCAAATTGTGTACTAGTTTTCAATGTACAATAACATTATTTATTTGTAGGTGGTTATCATTCGTAATTAGAGGGCTGGAAACTTGAATAATTTCAGAACTACAGAAAAAATTGTTATTATTTTGAAGGATTTCTTGAACTTAATTTCAACCTTTCTGCCTTTGATGAATAAGAAAATCAGGAGATCGATCTGAAAATGAGACAACCAGTTTGTTTCTGTCTCGATTGGACCAGTACGGTGTCGTCTTCCAAATTTTACCAGCTGTGTGACAACCAGGCAGCAGCAGGATGGCGGCAAAGAAGCAGCAGTGTGACGGCAGGGTAACGGCAGGGTAGCAGCAGGGTGATGGCAGGGTAACGGCAGGGTGACGGCAGGGTGATGGCAGGGCGGCGGCAGGGTGACGGCAGGGTGACGGCAGGGTGACGGCAGGATAGCAGCAGGGTGACGGCAGGGTAGCAGCGCGGTGACGGCAGGGTAACAGCAGAGTGACGGTAGGGTGATAACAAGGTGACGGCAGGGTAACAGGGTGACAGCAGGATGACAGTAGGGTGACAACATCGTTTTCGAACAGGTTTGGGACCATGAGCGTCAGACGCGTTATAAGTTGTTATCAGAAGTTGGATGGAATCTGATGCTGTATCACAGCGTCACATTCAAATACTCTTATTATTAAACATTTTAATGTAACACTCCAACTTTGACTGTTTCTATGTTAAATTTTACTGGACATGACTCTCAAAGATAAGGAAGAGATAAGAGTTATTGATGCTCTAACGTTACAGAGAAAGTGGTCACTGAATTAGCAACTTTTTTAGAATAAAACGTCACATTTCTTCCTGCATGGGATTCTTAAAGCACTGGTTTTGAGAGCTGAAGAATAGTTACCCGGGAGAGATGATCCTCGAGATTTGAAAATCCGGTTCTTACGAATCGTGAAATCTCCAGTGTAACGTTGTGCCGAATCCAGTCGCCCCGATTCTCTCTTCCTGTTTTAAAGCAAATTTGTGCTGAAAATAATGCCTAGTTAGGCTAAATAAACAGGGAACTATCCTAAACATATATAAAATTAAATATCTAATTTTTAATCCTTCTTTACAATCTTGAATATGCTAATGGTCCCATTTCTAAAAATTAAATGTCAAGCCCAGTTAATCTACTAATTCGCGAATGCTCATTCCTAATGCAATATATAATTTAAAATCAAATATACACTCGTTCATGACATTACTCAATTAACTTTGAATTTTCAATGAACGTTTAGAATTTTATTGTAAAACGTGAATTTTTTTGTGTTTCATATAAATTCGCATAATAATTCAAATCGTTCAAATTTAAAATAGAAATTTTCAATCTTAACTTATCACCTTTCGAATTTCAAAAGACGTATTATTCCACCATTGATTATAAAATTTTAAATCCAGGTAATTTAAAGACAAGACGGGTATTGTGGATCTCGACTGCGTGGCCAGAATATCCATCGAATGCTATTACTGCCAAGCTTCAAACAGATAAATACACAAATTCCTGTTCAAAAATTAAAAAAAACTAAGGCGATTTGAACTAATAATAACGGTGATTAATCCTATATTTATTCTCCAAGAAGAATTTTCTTTGCAAAGGCAGATCTCCCAACCAAAGTGCACAAGGGCACTTACAACAACAACAACGGCATCGCATTTTGCTTATTCGTCAAAAAATGCATTCCATAAGAGTCAGTATACCAAGGCACAAATTTGATATATGTAGAAATATTAATTTTCTTATAAATTGTATCAGCCATGAGCAAATCACTGAATTTTCTTATTGTGTGAAATTGTGTATTTTCCGATACATTATTACATAAAGCTCATTTATTGTCCTATTCAATAGTGGATTGATTTATTTTATTAGCGGGGATTTCTCCATGAATATCCAAAGTGCGATTAAAGCCTTATTATGAGCGAATCACGGCACCAACGATGCATGAAACATGAACAATTATGAAATGAAACTCTGCTTGCATTTTAAAGTTTCTTGGTAATCAAATTCGCATTAAATAACTAATATGTGGGATACACACTCGCCAACACATTCTAAGTCACATATTGATCAGTTGAAATTTGGCGATCATGTGAATTTCCTTGATTTACTCGTGCGAATAATTTTCTACGAAAGACTTAAAGTTTCTAGCCGACTATAATTCAGCTTAGTTACCCGTCCAGTCCTACTCCCTATTTGATTCCATGTCATTAAATTTTTCATCATTACTAATTGCCAATTGCAACTTAAATATTATTTTACATTTGTTATCAATCTACTTCTAGATTAGCATGGACCTGGTCTAGTGTAAGATTAAATTCCAGTAATTCCAGTTTGGCAGGTTCAATTTTTGAACTGGCTACTAGGCAGTCACCAGTTGTAAGACTTACTGGCATTACCAGGTTTGAAAAATCCTTCACAATAAATATATTTTCTCTAAATGCAACCAATATTATATTATGATACATAAATCATGGGTGCTGTCTTGGTCCCGTTTTAGAATGTGGTGCGGAGCTTGCATCTATGCATGATGGGGTGACTAATATAGAAGTGATCTTTCATTTGCGCTTCCCCGAGCTCGATAATACCTCCAGTTGGTTGTTATCTCACTCAGTTATAGGCCTCAATGTATTCACTATGATCTGGAGTAGGGAAATTGCATTATTGACTGTGGAAAAATTCGTTCCTTATCAATTTTGTCTCTCGGTCCATCCATCAGGTAAAGAGGTTAAAAAACAGATTAGTGTTTTTTGTGCATATATTATGGATTAATACAACGAATTTCGATATTATTCGGTGCAAAACATGGATTAAGAATGACCTGTAAAATAAGCATATTTCCTGTAACTCCCTTCAGGTATAACGCAAATGCCTCTAGTTGTTTGCAGTCGACATTTGCATACTCGCATAAATTCAGAAATGATCGATTTTCGATTACTTTAAAATGAAACGAAACGGTTATCCATAGATGAGTCAGCAAAGAAACAAAACAGAAGCTGAGGATTCAAATCCAACGTTCTTCACCCTCTAGCAGCGAGCCATGTGGGTACCATGTATCGTTCCCTAGCTCCTGGAATTTCAATTTAGCCGCGGTTTTTGCAGCTCGAGTACGTCCGATATTTGTTTTGGCCGTGCCCGTACCCGTGGGCGTGAGCGTACGTGCCGAAATAATTACGACGGGCAGCTTCTGCGTCGGCATCTGCTTCGGCAAGGGGTTCAGGGGAGGCTTCAGCATTTGCTTCAGGAGAAGCTTCAGCGCCGGCTTCAGGGTGGGCATCAGCATACGGTTCAGGATCAGCGTCAGCGTACGCCTCAGGATAGGCCTCAGCAAATGCTTCAGGGGACGCTGCAGGATAAGCAATAGCTTCTGCTAAAGCTTCAGCATATGCGTCTGGGAGAGCTTCAGCGTTTGCTGCAGCTTCAGGCAGTGGCTCGGCTTTGGGTGCAGGAAGAGCATTGCATGCTGCACTGATGGCCAAAACGAGTACCTGTAAAACAATTTTGTTTCTTGCAATGAAATTCGATTGGGGAGTTATCAGCATGTTAGCAAGGTTAAAGATAGAAATATTAGACTCGTATAATACATGAACTAAAATTTCTATAGTGAATAAGCTATAGTTCACAACAAATACTCGTAGTATAATAGATAGTTTCTCATAAATTAGAATTGAAATATTAGATGGTCACACAATGCTTGATCTCTCATCTCCGAAAATTGGTCTATATTACAAGACGTTAGTCAAGTTAACGAACACATCATGCATCTGAAATAATATCTTTTAGTGCCAATCGGAATATGATGTTAGATAAATTAGCTCAAGATTAAATACCTTAAAAAAATTGATACTCACCAAGTAAAAATTCATCGTGTCGGTCAATTATCAGCAGAAGATTCAAACTCCACCAAAGAATCAGTGCTTTCAAACCAAGAGGAGACTTGATGACAGCTGATGATCTTCTCATCTGCCAGCTTGCTTATATAGCTGGCGTGTAAACAGGATCAACATTGTTTTTTTTTTATATATCCTCGGATTTAATCCCGGAGCTTCTTATCGTGTGCGTTTAGATTGCAGACGTAATGGCATCGATGTTGCTGGGTAGACGCGGTCCGCATGAATACAGGGACACTTGTGTGCGATTTGAGAACTATTCATAATGGCTACTAAAATTAAAGTTTTGCTTCAGGTGCTTTAATCGAAAGTTAGTAAATTTGCATAGAAAACGGCAAGAAGAAAAAAGTCTTTGAAAAACTCTAATACGCGACTTCCAGCTTGTTGTCCCTACAGTGGGACCGTCAAGTTGTTGTCCCTACAGTGGGACCGCCGAGTTATTGTCCCTACAGTGGGACCGTCGAGTTGTTGTCCCTACAGTGGGACCGTCGAGTTGTCCCTACAGTGGGACCGCCGAGTTGTTGACCCTACAGTGGGACCTTCGAGTTGTTGTCCCTACAGTGGGACCGCCGAGTTGTTGTCTCTACAGTGGGACCGTCGAGTTGTTGTCCCTACAGTGGGACCGTCGAGTTGTTGTCCCTACAGTAGGATCTTGTTGTCTCCCAAGTTGGTGTTGTTCTTCAGGGAATCTTGTAAATTTCAAGTAAAACATCGCAAACGAGTAAAATGAGTAAGAATAAATTATACAGCTGAGTAAAATCCGCCTCATACACGGAAATTTCCCAGCCTATGAAATCTATTTTCAAACTACAAAAAATGACAAACAAGATTCGATACTAAGATGCATTAAATATTTGAAAAATCATACAAAAAACCTCACTAGCAAGATCCCTAAAATGTTTCAAGGGTGTAGAAATACAGACTGATGGCGGACGCCTTGGATGTCCCATGTAGTAAAACTCGATTTTTTTAATAAACGGGAGAGTGATTCTTGTTCAGGTGTAGTTTATATGTCTACTCAAGTCATGTATGTTGAATAGGACATGAGATATTTTGAACGGTTAGCGTCGACGTGGATTGCGATCAATTGTTTCCGTGGGCCTGGTGCTTTTCAAGAGGGATTCGCACAATAATTATTTGAAATGAAGTGTATTAGTAATATGGTCAACTTTTAACTATATTTTTTAATTTATCAGTTGATCAATCGAAGCACACTTAAAATAACATTCATAAATTTTAATGTGTATGACATAATGTTTTGACCCCAACTAATTTATTAAAAAGGACTTGTTAAATCTAAGAAAGATCGAGGGAATGAAAATTGTGAAAATTGCGATATTATTTCATTTGCTTTTATTTTTGCTAGGTTATCTTCGGTTTAATAGATGGGTTTTTTAAAAGGATTAGACAAATGCAAGACGCTGCGTGGGAAAAAAAAGTTCTTTCGGAGGAATTAATCGGCTGATGGAAGAGCTTTCCTTATCAAGCTTTCTCCTGCGAAGCCATTTTTTATGTGTAGCTTTTGTTAGAAATGGGTGGTCGCAGTACAGAAGAAGTCAGGGTTCATAATACTGGCAGATAAGAACGCCATTGGAATTTTCGATGCTTTTAGATTTCTAAGGAAGTGGGTCATGCAATCAGCGAGCGTTTAAGTAGCACGTATAGAATTTGGCTCAGGGTTTTTAATCTGTGACATAGTGATTACATAATAGATGAAAAGATGGCCAACGTGCAGGTAAGCCATTCTTACTTATCTAATAATTATTTGATTTTCAAATTGTGAATGACCAAGTTAGTTCCATCTAAAGCCTAGATTTTCGATTCATTCTCACAGGTCCCAACAATTAATTAAAGTGCACGAGACCGCGCGTTGTCTAATATGTTGTTAATATTATGTTAATATGGTATGTTATGTTATTTTGTTAATAATAACATAATAAAATTAAAATGTTATTATGTTAATAATAATATTAATTAATACCATGTTAATAGTAATATTAAAATATGTTACGTCACCCTCAGCAAAGGAATAAAAAATTACGAAAATATTAAACCACCTGAACCTCGCAAAAAAAGTTGTACCTGAACCGTTTACTTTCATTTTCGAGGAAATGAAAATATTCGTGATTTATCGTTTTTTCCGGAGTAGTTAATTTTTTTCTTGAAAACTTGAACTTTACAAACTTTAAATTTTACTGAGAAACGTACAAATGGTTAGATATGTTATTGAACTGAATCACTAAACCAATTCAGATTGCACTTCACATTGCACTAAGCATAATTGCCGATGAATTATAATGACTTTCGCACCGAACGTACGAAAATCTTTCGCAAGCTTCATACCGCAAGCAGGATCATGGAGGCGGCCGCTGCTGGACAGATCCGCCGGTATCTCGATCCGTCAAACAGGCTCTAGGGAAAAGTTCCTCCCGAGCTGCTGACTCGAGTTTCTAATTTCAAGGACTCCGATGCTTAGCTGCTTAAAACTGGTTTATTTGGATAGTTAATTCAAGGGATTCGCGTTGTCTTTTAAGCTGTAAATCAATACTGTATTTATTACATTCAGATATATTCGTTGCGTATATCTGTTTGATATAGACTTCCATGACATTCTTGCCTTTTATGTTGTAAGATTTGTTCCAAAAATACATATAAAGTTAAAAAACATACAATAATATGCCGACTACAGAGATAAATCTAAAAAATTCATCGCAATTGCATGTTGGAAATTGATCCAGTAATTTAATAATTTTAGTCCCGGATTTGTGAGCTATAATGATTAAAATTTATATCAGAATCATAAACTAAAGATATGTACAAAAAAAGTGAGTTAAATCTCCACAAGATCTGTAAGTCATCACTACGCTGTTTGAGTCAATGATGATTTCATATAATAAATATAGGGAATGTTATCATGTATTTTTGCTACAATCACTGTGATCATTCTTTCACATTACTATCTTTGTAGAATAATTGAAACCCCTGAAGATAATTGGTGTATAGATGTTTGATGTACCAAATATTTTTATGCAACTTATCTCAGCAGAGAATATTTCGTGTTGGCGTCTGGATTTACGATGCCCAGAATATTTTTGCTTGCCACCGCACAGAGCGTTCGGCGTCCACAAGTCATTAAATGTCGCTGCCGACTGAAATGATGTACGTGGCAATTATTCTCAAGCCAAACGTCGGACGTTCGGTGAACCTCGTGCCTTGGTTTTCAAATATGTTGTAGCTTCTCTTAGTATAGTTGCCAGAATTATTTGAAATTAGGAAAATGCTAGAGATTATATCAGTTCCTATTCTTGATCTCGAAGTTGAGTTTTGTTATATAGACTCTTCATCAGCTGTTAAATTATAGGCTAGGAGGTACTTCAAAAATGAAAAGCTTATTGGAACGGTATTTTGTCGACATCTAATAATAATCTTTTTGATTCTATTTGTAAATTTGATTCAATATATATGTTTTTATGAAATAAATTTAAATGCATAAAAAAGGAAAGGAACTTTATATTTCTTCGTGTGAGCGTACGGAATTCTCTATAAAAACGATGGATCTTTACGTTCTCTCAATAATGCACGCTTGTAAATTTTATTAGCGAAGACTGAAATATTCCATGCGAGGGAAAAGTAATCGCCAACCTTTTTCTTAAACACATTTGTTTCCAATAATGGCTATAAACCAAAATACTCATGGGTGGAAAAATGGGGGAAATGGCATAAAATGGATGTATTAGCTCTAATTTTTTTCCCGGGCTCTTCATAGGTGCATGTTTTGTTCGTACTTAATTTCAGTACGAAAATTATATTAATTCATAGTGACCATCGAGTTAGCGTATGAGAACTCCCCTTGGCGAAAATGACACAGTATATAAATTATGTTCGCCATATATTTTCATGTAATTACAATGATCTTTGAGTTTTCAAATTTGTTTCATTATTTGAATGAGTTTTTTTTTCTCAATCAAATATGGCAAATATGATATGTAGTTATGTAATCATTACTTATCAAACTTTCTGAAGACGCATACGGAAGAAAATCTAGGGATTTCTCTGCCACATTTTCCGTACATTGCTTTAGGCATAATAATTATTGTGACTCTTAAACAATTAACTTGAGTCTTAACGACCATGCCACAATACATGTATCGTGGCATGTATTTTCCGGCCAAGTGTAATCGATTCCTAACACATAAAAGGACTTGAGAGAATCCTAAGAATGCAATTTTAATTGAAACGACTTGAAAGAATCCTAAATAAGTATGAGCGACAGAAATCATCCTTCTCATATATCTTTTCTCTGATCTGGAGATAAAAATAATTTTTAAATGATGTCTTTTCTATCAAGGAGCGGATCAAAGTCAAATATTATTGCCAGGAAATTATAAATACATTATTAGAAGAGAGATAATTCTTCGAAGATTTAATGCAAAACTCTTGCCAGTTATTTTCTGCTCAAACTCATTAGATTTTCAAATCTAACGCAACAACTTTCCAACACGGGTTAAAAAAAACACCAACCCAATGCCATAATAGATGGCGGGGAGTTCCGTAGTCACCGATGCTCTCTAGTTTTTTCCTGGGTTTGCTGCAGCAAGTTGAAAGAGCCCTCAGGAACGCTCGGTTAATTTTGGTGGTCAAGTGTTTTATTTCATCAAGCATTTGAATTATGTAGGAGAAATTTTCAGAAGTGTTAGAGTGCACTGCAGTTGACACTAAACGAATTGGCTACATGTTGTTGTTTGTCGGATTTATTTAAGAAGTTTCAATGGTAATTTCATGACTTCTGAGCCATCTTGTGATTCTCTAAGACATTCAGAAGCACTTGAATTTTTAAATGGGCTTGGAATCTACATAGTAGTTTTTATCGTTGTCCATTAATTGAGCAAAATAATAGCTGCAGTATGATTCAAACTAAAAAGCATTAGTACTAGGGGAGAATTTTTTTTATCATTTCAGTAACGAATCTTTTATTTGTTATCTAAGTTCATCATTTAATAAATTATTAAAACACTCTGGCTACGACTTTTCTAGTTAGCAACACCGTCGGATG